AGAGGGAATGAATTTCAAACTTCATGACTAACAAGATAACAGAGCTAACAAGAATTTATAATAAACATGAACTACTTCTCTTATTTTAAATGATTTTGAGATGGAATTCATGAATATTGATATTTTTCTAGCTTTTTTCTCACTCTAAAGTATCGAACCCCACGAGTAAATAGTTCGACGAATGAATGGATCGAATCGAATTGAAAAATGAAAAAATCTGTACCAGTTATACCTTTCGTCGATTTTTCACCTTTCTTCGATTTTTCAATTGTGTGATTATCTCCCACACATGTATATATATCCCATGTACTATGGAACCTTCATCATCCCAAGTCTTTGAGAATGTATATCCTCAGTTGCTGGTAATACCTCTGAAAATTCAAAGTATCCTTCCCTAATGACATTTCATTTTCTATCACACATAAAACATATGAGAATTATTGACTTATTTTTAGTTCTTTGTCCCTTTTTGAACCTTATTATCTTGGAGAAGTTTCTGCCCTTCGTGAATACAGATTCGATATCGTACACTTTTGACATACTTAAGTTCATATGGTTTCTATTGGAGGCAAAAATATGACCTACCATGTTGCGAGATATGGTCGAACTACTTAGCTTATCTACCACCGACCTCCTAAACTCATCTATGATCAAGCTACTTAGCTCACCTATGCCCGAGCTACTAAGCTCACCTATCACCGAGCTACTAGTCTCATCTACCGCTGAGCTACTATGCTCATATGACCAAACTACTAAGATTGTCCATAAGCCAACCTATGGATGAATAGTCAACCTCAATCATTGCCAACCTATGATCCGACATCTACCTGTATTGTCGTAATGGTCATAAGGGACGTGTACCTTCACTCTGCCTACAAAAGGATTTTCATTCCTCTACTCTGGTATGCAATTATGCTCCGATAATGACCTATTGAGCTCCCGCTTATACTGACTTGAGCATCGTAGTGTCTGCTTTCTTTTTGTAAGTCCTACCTTGCATAAGCTCGCACCTTGTTAGCTCGACCAGTTGTCACGTGGTCGACCTCGACAACTCGGCAGAATTTTGCATCAACAGTTCCGTTTTGATTTCATTCAAAAGGTTTCGTACCAACGGAAGATGTTGTCCCTCAATTATATACTCATATCTTCTTCTTCTATAACTAATGTGAGACTTTGCCACATTAATTCTCAATGAAAAATAACGAAGGGACTTAAATTCTAACTATTTATAACAATGAGAGAGCCTTTAATTTTTTAGTCAAAAGGTGAACTTTGAGATGGTACAAATAATGAGTAAAATCTAAAAATCTATTTATTTCTAATAATTTTTTTTTATTTCATGTGTTTTGATCGGCTGTGAGATCTCCATTTACTTTTTCAATATACATAGAATTTTTTAGTGAAAAATAAAATCTAATACTTCTTTTATTTTGAAAATACTTTTTTTATGAATTAATTTAAAGTTAATATATACTTGACCAAATAAGAAAGTTAGTTGATTGGTTTTTTTTTTTTTTTGAAAAAATCATCGAAAATGAGAGATAGAGATTAAAACCTTCCCACAATAAGAAGGTATACCCATACATGTTTAACCAATTAAAAATATGCTCAAATTAACTTATAAAATTAACAAGTTTAATTTTACCTAGAATATTACATGACAAATAAAAGGAAACTTATGATCCTACATGCATCTTCAGAATTTTATATAGGTTAAAAGATTTTTTTTTTTTTTTGAGTAAGTATGTTAAATGAATATAAAGGGAATAATATCAACTCAACAAAAAAAGATAATAATAAAAACAAACAAACAAATATCAATGCCTACGAGCCTTACCAAAGAAAAAAATAATAATTTAGAAACTATTTTAATTTTTCAGTACAATATATATCGAACTCAAGAAAATGACATATATATTTTATTGTTGAGTTATACTCAAATTGTCTAAAAAAAAGAAAGATGAAATTTATGAGTCCCTATCAGTCTCTATGGCAATAACTACATTATTTTAGTGTCAAACCGAGCATAACTCAAGTGGTTAAGGCACCTGTATTTTCTCGTCAGTATCAAATTTCCATCAACATTTCTATGTGTCAATAGATTGGACATCGACACGAGGGATTTCAATAAATCGACATTTTCATACTATCCCAAAAAAATTGATAAAATGTCAAAACAAAAAATATCAAGGTAATATTATATCAATAATTTTTAACTTATGTAAAAAGTTGAGATGCTTATTTGTTAATTATTTAAATATTTGTTACAGATATTTTATTTTTATAATTTTTTTAATAAATATCCATTGACAAAGATTTTCATATTTTTATTAAATTGAGACGTCTACATTTTCATCGCGTCGTTCGAATTTGGTTAAACAAATTGTATTAATTATCCAACTATAAAGTTCCTTTGAGCAAAAAAGTCTTCCAAACCCAATGGGTGCGTCCAAGTTTTTCCAACTCCCACCTATCTCTCTCTCCCCATTGCTCCATTTCCATGCCCATCCTCAAAACTTTTAATACATCCATGAACCTTTTTACACTTAAAAAATTAAGGAAAAGAAATTAATTTATAATCCAAAACTTTGACTCAATTAAAGCTCCAAACTAATAATTTTACCCATTAAAACTCTAAATTTTGGAGAGTTGAATGAATTAAAAATCCTAAAATTACCTCAATTTATACCACGCATTAAATTCTATTAAAAACCTATGGTTAAGTTTTAAATTTTACAAGTTGAATCAATTAAATTCTTAAAATTACCTCAATTTATACCACGCATTAAATTCTATTAAAAAACTATTATTGTTATTTAAATGAGAGGTGCAGTACACGTGTAAAGTCAAAATTATTTGCATAGCTCAACGATCTCCAATCAAAAGAGGTTGTGAGTTCGATCCCCCGCTAGCACATGTTGTTCTTAAAAAAAAGAACATGTTGTTCTTAAAAAAAAGAACATGTTGTTCTTAAAAAAAAAAAGTGTAACAACGTCAATCTACTTATCACATTATTTAACCAAAATGTAGATGCCAATAAGAATTGATGTAGCGTCACACAAAGCATGGCGTGCTCGTCACCTTGAGCAAATTAGTGATTTCATACAATGTATTCAGTTATATACTTTTTTTTTATTATTATTTGAAGTAACCAATTGCACCCCTTATCATTTATTTCTTCCCTTCTTATATAGTTCTCTTTCTTCTCTTATATCATTTATTGGAGTGACAATCTTTTCATCTGTCAATGAAATCGTCCCCCATTGTTAACTTTTTTAACAAGGGAAAAATCATTTGTTTCTAACAGGTCGAGTGTTGCAAACAAACTAAACTACACTATTTTTTAAATTAATTTTAGAAAGGAAAAAAATCATTAAATGAGTATTGAAATAATTTTACAACAACTTTCCTGAAATTGAAAGGATGAAAAAAAAACACACACACACAAACCATAATGATTTAAATCGAATAAATTAAATTATTCATCAATTCAAACTTGTAAATTATTGAACTACCATGTGAAAATATTGATAAATTTAATTCCAACATTTGAAGTACTATTGTCTTTCCTTTTTCTTTTCTTTTCTTATTATTGAATTTCAAAAATAAGTATGGATGGAAGATTGAGGAGATTGACTATAGAATTACTTTTAAATACTTCCTTTACAAACACATGGGCCAAAAGTACCTTTCCAAGTATTATTATTATTATTATTATTATTATTGTTGTTGCCATTTTTAAAGTGCTTTTAGGTTTTTCTGCTACTCAAGTTACTTGTTCACTTGTATATATATACATAACAATCTCGGGATATGGAGGATCGAACTTCCGACCTCGAGGAAAGAAATACATGTCAATTACCGTTTAGCTATGCTCGTACATATTGGCAATTGGTTGAAGATATATGCTAATTACCGCTGACCTATGTTCGATTTGGCAAAATCTATTTAACTTAATTCATTAATCATATCATTTATCTTTACTATACTAATATAAGATAGTTTGAAAATCATTTTTTACCTATTTAATTTTTATATAATTTTAAAAAATTCCAACTTAACTTTAACATTGATAGTTTATGTAATGATTATTTATTAGGGGTGCTTCAATCTCAATGAGTTGCAAATATCACAAAAACATTTTGGAGAGGTAAATATAGTAAAAAAAAAAAAAAAAAAGTCTAGCCCAAATCCAATCAAAAAAAGATTCATTAAAATAGCCTGAAACATCTATCGCAGTGACTAGACTATAACATTAATAGATTATATGAGTTATAGACATCTATCACTGGTATAGTTATCATCGATAGACTATATCAACGATATTTTTCTTTCACTGATATATATAGTTTTTATATATAAACTATAAACTATATCAGTGATAAACTATGATGACATATAAATGTGTGATATATGAATAGAAAAAATAGAATTGTGTAAAAATGTCTAAATATGTGCATAAATTTAAAAAGAAATTGACAGATTTGTAAAATCATAATCATATGGGTATATTTAGCAATATGACAATATTTATGGCTACCCATTGGCATTTCCCTTTTTTTTCCCTAAAGTAATATTTGTGTTTTAGTCTATAAAATGAATCAATTTAAATTAAAAATGTCCTCAAAATTCCTAAACTAAATTTTAAAAACAAAAATTTGTTTTTTAATTGTGTAACAAATTATTAAAAAAAAACTAAAAAAGTATGAAGTTTCATATTAAAATACACCACTAATGCATTAAAATGTAATTTTTTAAATACATAATTTCCGGGGTAATAAATAATATAATGGAGAGGTTCAACTACTCTCAGGAAGAAGTAAATAAGATGTATTAATTCTTATTGGCCTGCCACCTTAATTATAATAAATGTTCTGTTGAACATGGTTGAATAACTCTCAGCAAATAAAAAATAATAAATAATAAAAATAAGATTTGTCCAAACTTCACAAGTATAAATACATATGTCGCCAAAGCCTCAACTATAGCAAGTTCCTCTAATGGAAGCATCAAAACAAGAACCAACGGAGGTGGTGAACAAGCATCCTCCAAGGCTCTTTAGGAGGAAAAAATGGACAAAGTTGGATATAAACTTTGCTATTTCCTTTGCCCTTTTTCATCTCCCGTGTATTTTTGCCCCGTTCTATTTCAATTGGACTGCCTTTTGGATCAGTTTCGTATTGGGTCATTCTACAGGTATAGCCATTAGTGTTTCGTATCATAGAAATCTTGCACATCGGAGCTTCAAGCTTCCTAAATGGCTCGAGTATTTGTTGGCTTATTGGGCAGCCCATGCTCTTCAGGTTCGATATCTTGGATCCTTACTCTCTTGGTATTATAAATATATGTAATGTAATAGATACCTACGACACTTAGACATCAAAAATCATAGA